CTGCTTGTGTTCCCTCTCTCGCTGTCTCTCTCTCTGTCAAATAAATAAATAAAATCTTTAAAAAAGAAAAGATCATTTGGTTTCTGCTTATGTGAATCTCTTTTCTGTTGCCTGGATCATCTCATTCTCCCTTCTCTGTTTCTGGACAGAGGTGGTGATGGAAGAAGTCAGGTTGGTTACTTGGGGCACTAAGCTCTCCTCGACGGGGTGGATGGGCCGCACGGCATCCGTCCAGCATCATGTGGGGGGTGATGTGCACGATGGTGCGAATGGCAGGACTCACTTCTTGCCTGTCCTAATCTGTTCACCTCGTCATTGTGACGCCCCATCCTCACAGCATTTCTCAGGTTCTCCTGGCACTAAAATAATCACACTAGCACTAAGCAGGCTAAACAAGAGCTCCCTCTTCCTCCTTACCCACTATTCTTCCCCTATATTGAAATCTTTGGCCTATGGCATTTGGGAGGGAAGGCAGTGCTTAGATAAAATCATGGATTCACTGTTTCCTTTAAAGAGATTTACAAACCAAAAAGACAGTTTGTCTGGTTTTGTTTTGTTTTTTTTAAGGGTTCTACTTTTTCTACTGGCTTCTTTGCACTTTTAATAACAAACAGCCCTTCTTGACATGTTTCCACACATGCTAGCCAGGTCGTGATCTTCAGAACCCTGAGAAGAGGTGGGGTATGGAGGCTATGATATGTCAAACTGAAAACCACTCCCTCTGAAGGGTTAAAAATCATCCTGCCTCAAAATCCCACTCTTAACTGCACTGGGGAGAAATGATACACACTTGTAATTAGATTGTTAAGATAAATGCCTATAACAGATTGTACTAAAAGACGCCCCTCTGATGCATCCCTTCATTGAAGGAAAATCATTCCTTCAGCCCTGCTCTGTATAACACATAGAAAATGGATTATTTTACCTTACCCTGGCTTATTCCATAATGTATGCCAAATCCCTTGCGTATCTTATATTGTTGAATTCAGACTGAAAGCCAAATGGAACCTGTGAAGATCAGTAGTCTCAGCGTGACTCTGAACTTCCTTTAAGCATCCAATGGGGTAGATACAAAAATGGTTCGAGAGCTGGTTCGAGAAACATAGTAAAATGTGATTAAAGCAAAAATGGCACATTTCTAGTACTGTTACTTCCCCCTAGGTACATAGTAAACCACGTTAATAAATAAAGCAACTGGCATTTCAGTAACATACACTTAAATAGTTACAAACATACATGTAGAAAAAAAGGATACAGTAGTGCAAAAAATAAATTATTAAAACAGAATGTAGGATGAACATTACTTTACACAATACTGTATAAAACCTGAACCATTTGGAATGAGAACTCAAGTCAGTGAAATAACGCAGCAACATTATTAGTATCTGTGCTTCACATTTCAACCACACACTTAACTATGCAAGAAAGAAAATTAAAGCAAAACCACTTTAAACTTTCAGAAAAGTTTATGTCGAAATCAAATTAATTTTTTTCTTCTGGGCTTTTAAACACCTCTGCTGAGCATGTAGTTGTGCAGCATGTCAAGAAGCATCTTAAGACAGAAAGTTTCAAACAGGTCCCATGCTTTTGGTCTTTCTACACATTTTCTCTCTGTGATCAACAGCAGGGAAATGCCTGTTTGATACTTCCTTCTGTTAAGATGTTATTGCAATTAGATATATTTACAAGATGACTCCCCCAAGGGCGGTGGGGAGGGTGGCGGCTCCTCTTCAGCAATCCACTCTCACTAGTTTTGGTTTCGGGATATAAAGGCCAGGACTCGCCGAATACCGTTCAGTCTATCCTTTAAGGACCTCATTGCAAGGAATGGGAGCTGAGCTCGGCTTTCCAATGGAAGAACCGCTAACGTCCACCAGCACCAGGCTGGACCATTTGGGTTAACCTACAACAGAGAAACACAATGGGTTCATCCTATTCCCACAGAAGTGAGATCAGTCTGTAGGTTTCCCAAGCCACAAGGTAAACGTCCCAGGTGGAACTGTTTCTGTGTACGGCAGACGCTGCTAATTACCCCCAGGTCTACTTCCCCTTATCTGAGCCGGGCATGTAGCCACCCAGAAAACAGGCTGCATTGCAGCAAGGGGCGTCCACAAGACAAAGTTCTGGCTAAGGAGATATAAAAGGAAGTTCTATGTGTAACTTCTGGGTCACGTGCCAGGAACAGGGCGTGTGCCCTCTGCCTTACTCTTTCTCTCTTCTCCCCAGCTAGAGCGTGAACATGGTGATGATCAACCTTCTTCTATCAGGAAGACGGGGCAACATTCTAAGGATGGTAGAGCTTTGTGAGGAAGGAGACTGGATCCCTGAATGATCTCATGGAACAGAGCCGCCTTAGCCCTCTATCCGGTTCAAGCTACAGTTATTTTTAGCAGTTGTCAAAGCAAACCAATCAATATCCTAACAGATACCCTATACCTGCTAGCCAGTGTGATTCTGTGAGCCAGAATATCCGCTACTCAGTCTGTTCCATTTCGAAGATTCTGTTTAGGTTCTTTGGACTGACACATACCACATGTGGGCATTCAATTCCCATGATCCCTTGGGCTCGGCATGTCTCTTAACTCCCTTTATTCCTCTGCTTCTGGTGGAAGGCAATATAGTCCACATATGCCATGTACATATGGCCACAGCGAGCTTCTCCTCAGAAACCGAAGCCTATGATCCACAGCCCCAAAGCACAGCAATCCCACTTGGGAAAAATTCCAATTAGAGAACACATTCACATTAGAAATGTATTTGGTCCCCAGGTTTCTTTTTTAATAAAGACCTTTCCCGTCCCACATGACTCCTTCACCGAAATTCTGTTTGTGAGCAGCTTCTCAGGCACACGTTTTAGACACTGGTGACTTATTTCCTACAAAGCCTGAAATGAGCTCTCGGCTCACAACTTTCAGAAGATTGGTTTAGGACTGTACAGAACCCCATTCTGGTCAGACCACCTACATGTGGGACTATTTGCCTCCAAATTGGTTCGCCTGATTCTCCTCAAACCCTGCTGCCTTCTTGGCTTCTCTGTGCCTGTAGCTTCATTTGAATTCTTTTTTGTCCCTCACTGTGAGCTGTAACAGGCTCTCCCTCCTATTTTTAGTTCTGAATATGAAATTGACACATTCTAAACTTTCTTTCCCAGGGCCATTAACAAAGATATTTAAGCTGATGTTAATACTTGCGGCTGTTTCTGAGAAATCTCCTCCCGAGGCTTAGAACATTCTTATTAATGGGACCACTGGGGCTGCAGCCCTGACTGGATCAAACTGGATGATTTTTTTTTTTTTTTTGCTGCTGCTGCCAAAGCAACATGATAACAGTTCTAATAAGAAAGGAAATGAACCCAAGATTTCAGCTTTCTGTGTCATCGAGCCCTTATGAATCATTCTGTGGCATCTGTGTTTTCTCTTGTGGAAGATGCTGTATCATTGCTGATTGCTACCTTCTGCCTGACTGAGGGAGAATGCTTTCCAGAAGGTGAAGGGGAACATTACACTTGATCATGAGCTTGCTCAGAGCTCTGATGTAGTCCTGAGTCACAGTGGCCCAGAGCCAGGAGCTGGGTCACTGGGAAGCACTGACTGGCCATTCTCCCTTCAACATTCACGATGCCTTTGCATGGGGGGAAAGAGCCACCTTTGTGGTCTGGAGAAAGTGAGACATTTCAGCCCATTAGGGAACAGACTGGTGTTTTACAACCCCAGATGCAAGAAGAAGCGGGGACTTTGGAGACCTCCTCATCCACCTCCCTCATTGCAGAGCTGGGAGAAAGGTTGAGAAAGGAGAAGTGATTTACCCAAGGTCACACAGCTAGAGTGGTAAGGACCAGTCTCCTGGCAGGGAAATCAGAACATACATATTGTTTTACTATTGTGACAGAGTCAGGAATGAGTGAAAGTAAAGAATCAAAGAAGTCAGGGAGGTGATGATGTAGGGGAGCCAGCTCAGCATGTAGGAGAGGTGATCGGGGGCAAGTATTTGACTAGGTTGTCTCCAGCCTTGTCCTAGAGAGAGAGTATTGTCTGGTTTATACCAGGCAGGCAAAGCTTGGCGAAACTTAACTTATCTCCACTTTCCTGAAGAGCTTCTGATCTGCAGCTTGATCTCTCAAGGGGACCTGTCCCCCCAGGAAACAGACTGATCCAGTAGAACCTAATGAACTGCTTTCTAGTATAATTCAGTCAAGGGTAAATTTAAAGATTCGGTCTATTTGCTCAAGAACTGCTCACCCCTGATGAGAACAATGACAAGGGTCCAGACCTACAAGGCTAAGCAGGGAGGGACCCAGGTGTGACAAGATTTTGGGGTCTTGCAGTTGGAATCCTGTAAGGTAGCTGGTCCCATCTCCTAGCTCCTGCAGCAATGGGGGAGAGGGTTATGAAGTTCCCCAGAAATGGAAACCTTTGATCTCAGCTCCCAGGATACCCTTCTCTTAAGCTTGGCCTTTATGTGAATCATGTCACTCCCACACATTACCGTGGTGTGAAACTGGACTCCCACTGAAGGTTCTTCTGTTGATGGCATCTGTGTTCCCAATCTCTCACCTGACTTACCTCTCAAAACCTTTCTTGGATCCAAGTTCCTACTGCTTTACTTTATTACTCCAATTCTGACTCAGGATCCTTTGGGTCTTACCCATGATGTCCACTGCCCAGCCAAACAATACCAAATTGGATCCACCTTCCTCTCTGCTCTTGATCTGCCAAATGGCAACTCTGCACCCATCTAATCCCAAACCCTAGGATCTCTCATCTGGTGGCGGCAGTCCATTACAAAGAGACATTTTTATATACCTGGGGATCAGCATCTTTCTCTGGCATTGGACCAAAGTGACTGAGTATCCGATTCTTCAGAGATGATTTGAGCGAATGAAACCATGATGACGCTTGCTCATAGACACAATTATGTAATCCCATGAGCTCAGCATAATCGTCTCCTTGAACCTGAAAGTACCAAAGTGGAAATGAAGCACTCTGTATCTTCTCCACCACCCCTGAAGCTGCTGACACTGACTCCCTTTGGGCATCCAGCCTGCCTCCCTAGGAAGGCTCACCCACCCGGCCTTCTCCTGTGTGGCGTGTGAAAGGCTCCTCAGCCAGAGGGTGGGCTGTGTGTAAATACTGCTGAGGGTGGAGGAAGGATAAAGTTTTCTCTGGGTCAATTAGCTGAAACAGCAAGACAGACAGAAAACCAGAGGTGCCAACTGGCTTGAGTGGAGGCATGCTGTCAAACTAGCTTATGCTGCTTTATGCCTCTCTCCTTTTCATGTCTTATATCTGGCTTCCCATTGCCCACTGGGAGAAGAGACATGAGTGTGTCTGTGTCTCACTGTGTAACTCTATTTTACAAGTCAAATACATTCATTCATTGATCAAACATTTACTAATCTTGTACTATGTAGTGAATGTAAATATAAATGAACATGGGATTATTTACCTCTTCTTCTACCCATTAATCCAGAACACCAAGGATTAACTGGACATGTTATCTTTCTGCTTTTTGGTATGATGCGCTATAGGGAAGAACTCTTAACCAGGCTGCACATTTAAAAATACAAGTGTACGGGGGCTCCTGAGTAGCTCAGTCAGTTAAGCGTCTGCCTTTGGCTCAGGTCATGATCCTAGGGTCCTGGGATCGAGTGCCACATCAGGCTCCCTGAGCCTGCTTCTCCCTCTCCCTCTGCCTGCCATTCCCCCTGCTTGCGCTCTCTGCCAAATAAATAAATAAAATCTTTAAAAAAAATACAAATGTACATGAGAATCTACAATTATCTCAAAAGAAAAAGTTGGAAAATATGAATAAATTGATACATAAAATGCACATGTGTAGATATCATAGCTCTAGATCTATCCTTTGGTATCTCTGGCAGAGACCTAACTCCTAGGCTGAATGGGCCCCAGGTTTGTTGGTCTGGCTTGGTATTTCTCATGCATGAATACAACTCAGCAACTAAGCAGGGAAAGCCAGGACACGGGGTGCTCCTGGTGCCATTCTACAATCGAACAGCAATCCAGCAACATTGAATGTTGCTGGCACAATTTGGTGAGAAATCCCAAGGCCCCCAACAGTGCTGAGAAATTCTTCTGCAAACATCTTTGTGTGCCAAGCTACAGGGATAACCTGGCTTTGGGATTCTTGGCACTGGCCGCCCTCACCTTTTGGTCTTCAATGTATTCAATGTCGGCTGTATTGTAACCATCTCGATGGCCCTGATGGAGGACCTTAAAGCGCCTCTTGCCTATGCTGTCCACCACTGAGCGGCCATCAGCAAAGAATTGAACATTTCTGATCTCCAGGATGCAGCCGTATTCCGCGAACCTGCTGTATAGGGTATGCGTAAAGACGTAAATTCTTGAGTCATTTCTGTGGCCTGGCCCTGAGCCATTTCTGTAATCCCAGGCTGTTCCTCAAGGGACTTCTGCCTATTTGCCTGTCCTGGGGTCCACAGTGGCAACTACACAACAGGCAGTGCCTGTGCAAAGAAAAATCTTTATGCAATAATATAAGTGCTCCCATGTATTGAGCAGATGCTATGTATTAGGTACTGCGCTCAGTGCTTTATGTGCACCAACTCACCAATCCTCCCAACAAACCCAATGAGGTAGGCACTATTATTGTACCCACTTCAAGGTAAGGAAATTGAGTCACAGAAGTAACTTGCCCAAAGTCAAACTTGCTCTAAGGCTGGAGCCAAAATATAAACCCAGGCAGTGTGACTCCAGGGCCCACAGTCTTATAGTAAAAAAAATTTTATAGTATATACCACTCGTTTAACAAAAGATTAATCCTGGGGTTCCTTTATATAGGCAGCCTATTACATGGTATACTAGGGGCCAAGGAGACCCTGATCTCTACAAATACTCATGGTCATGAACTGACCAAATCTCAGGAGCTGTGCCTCCCCATCTCCAGGGAGCACTCCAAAGTAAACCCAAATCCCTCTCCACCCAAACCTCCCTTCACTCTACAATAGGTCTCCACTTACCCTTTGACAGTATCTCCAAGGCACATGCCAAACTGCCTTGTGCCTGTCTCAATGCATCTACGAATCATCAGACGGTAACAAGGCTCAAAGATGTGCAGAGGACAAGGAACGGTGGGGTAGGCCATAGTACACACGAAAATAGGCACGTTCTTATTTAAGCTGTCAGGAAGAGCAAATGACGTGGATTTCTCAAAGCAATGGAGAACACAGAAAGGTTGGTCAAACGTCACCTTGTGGTTCCCCCATAGGAAGGCAAGGAGACCTCAAGTTTTGACGGCTGATAAAAAAAATTCTGAGATGCAACCAACACTATGGGCTGAGTCCCATTACCTGGTGCAGAGGTTAGCCTAAGCGCTGAGAGATTGAAACTGATATTCTATACATTCTAATTTGGCTAAAGACGCCCTCTAGTACCTTCACATTGTGGGCGATAGCTATACCTCAAATTTTTTTTCATTCTCTCTACTCAGAACAATCTCTTCAGGTGTTGGGCTGGTGGTAAAGGTGGACCCAGCCCTCCAGGGGGATGGTGGAAAAATCTGTGCAAGGTCTCCATCAGCATCTCAAATCTGCAAAGCCCCCAGGAGATCTGCTTGGCAAGCCCCGCTAGAAGGAGGAGGGAGCAACAGAGAGGCAAGTGTAATCTAGCCCAGTGGGTGCCCAAATGCTCCTGTGCATCAGGCACCAGGGGCCCTTAAATCCAGACAACGGGCTGCAGGACCCCCCCGAGATACTGGTACATTAGCTCTGGAGTTAGGACCCAGGAGTTTGCCCTTCAACAAGTGCCCACGAAGAAGCAGACACACAGCCTAATGGGAAACCACCAACCGGGCCAGCTCCTCGTGGATCACTGTTCTCGTCTTTGTCTGGTAAATCCAATACTGGAACCTATCAATAGATACAAGACCATCTGCCCAAATCCCCGAAGTATTCAGTTTACGATTTCTTTAAATAGGTATCCCTCTAGTATATTCCAGTGTTTATTAATAAGACATTAAATGACATTGGAGAGAAGGGCTTGGAGAAACTCAAGGTGAATTTAAGAATCAGAAATAAAGATGTTCTGAGTAGATCTACTGTAAGTCAATGAGAAAAAAAAAAAAGGATTTCATTTCTAGCTTCTCAGGAAAACATATCATTCAAAGTGAGAGGCTCACTCAAACAAACCGGTGGCAGTTTAGAAATGTTCTCTACAGGGTGGGCAGAAAACCAGAGCAGCTTGTGTCATCAGGCCCCTCGCCCCCAGAATGCTGTGAGGATTCCACTGGGGATCGGGAGGTGGGAGGGCAGCAGCAGGAGAGGTGGAAGTGAAGGACTGCCTCCTGCTTTTTCTAAGTGAGCTGCTCTTCCAGCCAGGCGGAAGAGGCCCACTTCCATCCCCGTCCTTACCCTGCATCTCCCACGTCCCTGGCAAAGGAAGCACAGAACAAGCAGCAGTCTCACTATTACCATTTATTAAGTACTTAAACTCATTTGATCTTCATAACTAGTCCGTGAGGTAAGAACTGATCATTCCCAAGCTACAGATGAGGAAACTGAGGTCCAGAGAGGTCAAGTGACTTGCCCAAGGCCCTGAAGTATACCTGCTTTGTGGCAGAACTGGGTCACAAGCCCAGGTCTGGCTGGCACCAAAATTCTTAACCTCATAGCACCTTCTTAAGTATCTGCAGTCTTCTGTGCACGCTCTAAGTTCCCCTGATTTAGCTACTCCTATTTACTCCTACCAGCAACACCCAGTTACAAGTGCCAAGATATGACCTGGTCGATGGTTTGACTTTCGCTTCTTCAGTGGTGTGTTGGTAAATGCTGAACAAACTGGCTTTTGGTTGGGGGAAGCTCTGGCTTATAGCATTTGCCAATTTCTATAGCATAGATACTCTCACCAAGGCCAATGTCAAGCTACCAACATGATATCACCAAGTGAGAAGTTAGGAAGTAACGTGCATATTCAGTTCTATGAGCTGCTATGAGTGAAACTGAAAAGAGAAAAAAGAGAAACGTGCATATACATACTTAGAAAGTTCTTCCATTTCTTCTTCATAAAGCCGCCTTCGTTCCTTGAGTTCTTCTGGAAGGAATTTAGCTATTAGCTCTTCCATTATGACATTTTTGCTATATTTTCTGGATGCCAAGCACTATGGGGGAACAGGGCAATGAGATATTATGCAGTCCTCAGAAAAACACAAAGCACATCTGATGTAATCAGTAGAATAGTTGAACGACCCACATATTGGAGTAATTTGGACCCACACATTAGCAGCTGATAACATCAGAATGCATATATTCTCTGGATGTTACATGTGACTAATTACTTTTATAATTAGGCAAAATATTTTAACAAGGGAAAAAGACCTGCATTGAAGTTCTAAAAATCTCAGAGCTTCCCTAAAACACTCAAATTGAGATTACGTTCTTGTCAAAAAAAGTGGGGGGGGGGCCGGATCCTTCCCTTTCCTTTTTCTGGTTACTACATTTACAAGCTCGCAAAAATGGTCTCCATCTGGGATATACTGAAAGTCTGGTCAAAATGTTTGGGGAATGAAAAAGCCACTTTCAAACATTGATCTTTTCCTGACCTGTCCCACCCCTACCGCACCCCACCCCAATGCTTGGCTTCTGGATACTGCCAGTCTAAATATTCACGCCCCTCCGCACTTTAGCTAAAAACAAAACAAAACAGCTATAATACTGGTGATTTTGTCTATTTGTTTTTTAGATATATCATCTAGGTTATCACTGAAATTATGTTATAAACCATGATTTCAAAGCCAAACTCAGGTCCATTTGTCACTATTACTATCCTCCCAAACACCCCTACTCCGTGCATATCCAGGGATCCGTAAGCAGTGGGAATTCAACTGTGTGAACCAGACAATGAGAGTTAAAACATCTGCGAATTGCTTGCTATGGACACTACCCACGGAGACCCAGCAGGGGGAGCTCCTGAGTATAAAATTGCCGGTTTGAGACCATTTTTCCTTTCCAAGTATGAGCTATCTGTGTCTATTCTGCAGTGACCATGATTGGCATAAAATATTTTTCTCTCTTGGAAATGGTGTAAGTGCGCCCCTGTGTCAATACACAGAGACAGATGAGAATATTTTCTAGCCCCTGAGTCTGGGACCCTACAGCATCTGCTCTTAGGATGCCTTTTCAGCCACTGCCATTGCCTGACAGCAGAAGATCAACTGCTTTGCCCAGTCCCAGTCTTTGGGGAAAAGCAATGACTCAGGAGGTTGCTAATCCAGACTCCTCCGCTGATGCTAAAACAAAAACCCAGGAAAGGCACATACTAAAATGTTAACAGTGGTTTTCTCCAGGTGCTGAGCATGAGTAGATTTTTCTTCTTTCGGCTTATTTGAATATTGTAGTGTTACCACAACACAAATGTATTGTTTAAGTATAAGGACCATGGGCTCCTCACCCACAATCAGGTCAGCAGACCCCACCCCCTGATCTAGGCACGGTGTGACAAGTGAGCCTCCCCTCCAACCCCCACACACCCCCAGGGTTATCCTGGATGATTATTTCACTCCATTCCCTTAGTTCAAATGTTTGGGTGCTGAGAAAGCTCAACAAGTGATTTCTTTGGACCTACATTCACCTAGAGATAGTCTTGCCTCTCTGACCTCTCCTCGGGGACGACAGGGGTCAAGGAACATTAAGATTGACTGTAACGTGTCCTGCACAAGTCCCCAAGGGAGGGAAAACAAGATGGGCTCCCAGGTATTCCTGTGCTATAAGAAATTCCATCAGGTCCACCTGAAAAACAATGGTGGCAGCCTGTGTGGTTCCTTTCGGAGGATCTGTAAGCTGCAGAGATTTTCAAGTAGCCAAGTATCTGCTAATAAGTACAGCAGCTCCTGGCGGGGGGCATGGAACAGGGACCACACTGAAGGTCTGTGAGGTTTTTCTGGGGACCTGGGAGTGATCCCTTCAAACCACAGAATAAACATTGATGATGAGAAGACATCAGAGCTCATCTAGTCCAAGCCCAGAGAGGACAGAGGATTCACCTAAGATTGAGGTGAATCAGGTGCCATGATAGGCTTAGCACCTAGCAGGATCCCTGCTTACCATCAATTTAATACTTTTGTTTCCATCACAAATTAATTTCACTATTTACAGTTCATAAAAACCTAGATGTTGCCCCATTTTCCTGAAGGACTTTGTGAAGAGGGGAGGGGGAGCTCTAAGACAGGAAAAACAGACCGATGGCCCGAGGGAGTATTTTGCCCAAGCGCAGTACACTGGCTTGGGGTCCAACAGGGCAGCATTTTAGTTTCCAGTTCCAGATAAGCTATAACCTAATCAAGGAAGAAAGAACGTCTTACCTGTGCGAGACCGTCTTTGCACAACGGACACTTGGCGTTGTGGTCTAGGCATCTTTCAAGGCATTTTAAACAAAATGTATGCCCACAAGGTGTGGTGACTGGCTCATAGAATAATCTGAAATTTAGGAATCAAAATAATAGAAACATGCAATAAGACAAAAAAATAAAAGACAGAGCTACTCAATGTTAAGGTTTTATAGTATTATTAGGAAAATTCTGTGTAAGGGGAGGGGTCTTTCCTTTTTTCAAACAATTCCCTGCTGATGTTGCACTTAGAAAAGCATTTGCTTTTTTATTTCTGAGGTGGATTTTTAAAATAATGCATTTATCAACATTTATGACATAGCTAGATCATCTTGTAACATCAGTTCTAGTCAGTCTCTTCTGACTGGCATCCAGATTGTTTTTCCCTGTCAGGTCCCAGAAAAATAGAGATTAATGCCCAGAGTGTCTGAATAGATTACGTTCTAAAATATTTAGCCAATCTGTTCGCCTAAGGATATGGAGACACAGAGACAGATAAAGACACACTCTTGTCTCACACATTTACTCATTTAAGTACTTTATATCATATATACAATGGAAAAAGACTTGGTTTGTTTGCTAACCTTGATTCCATTTTTCACCTAAGCAATGTTTACTGACTGAAGAATCTCAAAATTGTACCTGTAACAAATACATTAACTATCTTTGTATGAATGGATCATTTTCTTAGAGGCAGTAAAGTAATACTGTCAACGTGCTTACTGATAGACACACACACACATATACACATATGTAGGTCTGCATCCATATACTTCAATTAGACCCGACTTTAATTGCTTTGCAGGAGCTGGATATTTTCAAAGCAATCTGGGGAATCTTTTTAAAAGCTGTTCTGTACATTCAGAGATTCATGGATTTACTTTGCTTAAAAAGAAAGGCTCACCTGCAGCAGGACCATTGGGTGGGGGCAGCTGAAGATGGTGGTTCAGAAGTGGGGCTCCCGTTCACCAAAGGACAAACAGAAGGGAAAGACAGATGCCTGACCAGCCTATTTTGACCTCACAAGAGTGTTCAGTTGAGAGGAAGAGGCAGCCAGCTGCACAGCCCCCTCGTGTGGCCAGGAGGTGCAACGACAGCCTGGCGCACACAGGCTGAGCAGAAGAATCAAAATGTCAGAGATGACATTAGTACTCCCCGGAAAAAATCGAACCCACTAACCAGAATGAAACTGAGGTCCAGAGGGGAGGAAGCCACTTACATGTTGGCAGTGAAAGTCTATCCAATTTCCACCTTCCAGTCGTGTGCTCTTTCTGTTAAAACAATGATTCTCAACCACTGCTGTGTGTGAGAATCACCTGGAGAGTTTTCTCTTTAAATAGCTTTATTAATGTATAATTGACATGCATAAACTGCACATACTTAAAGTTTACAATTTGGTAAGTTTTAACATATGTGCACACCTATGAAACAGTCTCCACAATCCAGGTCATGAACATACCCGTCACCCCCAAACATTGCCTCATGTCCCTTTGTAAATCCTACCTCCTGATCCGCAGCCCCCAACCCCCACCATCACCTGGGGAACTTTTAAAAATTACAGATGCCAGGGACCACACCTGCAGAGATTCAGATCAGTTGGTCCAGGGTAAGGGCCAGGCACCAGGATTTTTTTTAAAGCTCCTGGGTGGGTTTAATGTGCAGCCAGGATTGAAAATCACTGTATTATACAATCCTACTAATCTCTGCATAGGTGAATCTTCTGTATTGGTCTCCAAACCTAATTATCAGAGCTACCTGTAGAGCTTTAAAAACACAGACATGATGAAGCTCCACTGGATAAAGTTTGCGATTTAGCGGGTCAAAGAGAGGGACAGAGATTTGGTATTTTTAACAAGCCAATGAAAGCCTAGCAGCTGCTGGCACATTCCCCTCTTTCTTGATTAAAAAAAATTCTTGTGGAATATGAGGGGAAAGCCATCTTGTGGGAAAGAAATGAATAGTTTCTTAAGAGAAATCAGTTTAAATTTAACAAGCTATCCACAAAATAGATTCTCACTGATTCGTTCAGCAAACAGGCTCTGCGTGCTGACACAGAGCTAGGTGCTGGCAATATGACAAGTACAAGCAGGCATCTGACTTCTAGGAGACGAGAGGACAGACATTGAACGGTCATTGAAAAGGTGATATTTAATAAGTCCATACCAGTACAAATAAAAAATGTTAAGATGTTGAAATTAAAAAAAAAAAAGCAAATGAAGGTCTGGAGTAGGAGAGAGGCTTTTGATTCACTTTTTCTACTTTTTGAATGTTATATTCTTGTTTTAGAAAGTAGCTCATTTGTTTAACAGAATTAATAAATTTTAGTTATTAAATTGGCCAAAAAGTAATATTAGTTTTCAAAAACACTATCATGGAGGTCCTAACCAGTGTACTAAGGCAAGAAGAAAAAACTAAAAGTATGAGGGTTACAATGGAAAAAACCAAATCTGTCATTATTCACACATGGTGTGATGGTGAACTGGTCAAATCTAAAAGAATCTACAGGGGGTACTGAGTGGCTCAGTCAGTTGAGCGTCCAACTCTCGGTTTCAGCTCAGGTAGTGACCTCAGGGTCATGAGATCAAGCCTCGCGTCAGGCTCTGCACTCAGCCTGGAGTCTGCTTAAAGACTGCCTCTCCCTCTGCCCTCCCCCTCACCCCCTTTCTCTAAAACACATAATTTTTTTTAAATTAAAAAATCTACAGAATGATTATTAGAATTCATAAGAATTGATAGTATTAGCAAGGATGTTAGATAAATACACACACACGATTGTATTCTATACACTAGCAAAACACATAAGAAAACACATTTTTAAAAAAAGTAACATTTACAATCACGTTTAGAAATCAAGTGCCCAGGAATAAGTCCAACAAAAGTTGTATGAGACCTCTGATGGAAAGAACTGTAAACACCTCATCAAAAGGAAGTAAAGAAGACCTGATTAATCCCGATAAAAATCCCAATGGCTTATTTCACATGTTTGTTTTTATGGAACTTGCCAAGTTGATTTCTAAACTGTATAAGGCAAGGCAAAGGGTCAAGAGGAGCGGAGACACTTCTAAGAGCAGCAGTGTGGGAGGACTTGCTCTACCAGACGTCAGACCTTATTATAAAGCTGTAGTGATTAAAACAGTATAGGGCTAGCACAAGGACAAATAGATCTGTGAATAGAATAGAAAGCCCAGAAATAGACCCAGACCCAGACTCTTGATTTATGACAACTGTGGTACTTCAAAGCAGAGGGGGGATTTTCAGTACATGAATAGCATTCTCAATAAATGCTATTTGGGATAGCTGGCTGTCCATATGGGGAAATGAAGTTGGGCCATCTCTCACACCATACACAAAAATCACTTCCATGTGGGCTGGAAAGGTAAATGTGAAACAGTGAAGTTTTTAGAAGACACAATAGACTATCTTGATGACCTCAAGGTAAAAGAAAAAAGATTTTTTAGGCAAGACATGCATAAGGAAAAGAAACGCCACTAATTATAAATGAAAAGATCGATTATTTTCATTGCATTAAAACGAAGAACTTGTAAGTTCATCAAAAGATGCCATTAAGAGAGCAAAAAGGCAAGTCACAAGTGGGAGAAGGTATTTGCAACACACTTGACTAACAGAGGACTTATGTTTACAACATACATAAAGCCCCTATAAGTCAGTAAGAAAAAGAGAGATAACCCAATCAAAGATGGGCAAAGATTGATATGCACCAGCATACATAAAAACTGCTCATAGCAATGTTGGCCATAATAACTCCAAACTAGGAACAACCCAAATATCCATCTATAACAGAACTGGCAAAGAAACTGTGGTAGATTCTTACAACGGGCCACTATAAAAGAATGAAAATGAACAAACTCTACCAATATGCAGCAACACGAATAAACCTTAATTCTGTGGAAAGGAAGCCAGAACAAAAAGAAATATGTTCTGGATAGTTCAATTTATATAAAGTGTTTTAGAAATAGGTAAAACTAAATTACACCATTTAGAGATGCATGCATGGGTGGTAAAACTGTTTTTAAAAAGAAGAGAGAAAAGTCAAGATAGTGGTTTCAGTGGGCAAGGGGCAAGGAGTCGTGATTCGGAAGTGGCACACAGGAGGCTTCTGGGGTCCTCGCCACATTTTATTTCTTGAACTGAGAAGGGCTACATGAGTATCCTCTCTACAGAGTTTTGTTAAGAGAATAGAATTTTAATTTTACGTACTTTTCCACCGTGTGTATTTCACAATGTAGAATGTTTCTCACAAGTATGATTTGCAGGCTGATTTGGAAACCATTGCTGTGATCTCCTGGAGCAGCCAAATCAGAAAGTCTCACTTCCTCAGTAATTTGAGTCCTATGAATCTGAAAACTCATTACACATTAGTCAATGACACTAATGATGATGATGATTGAGGAATCTGTACCTACTAAACTGTTTTTCCTGAGAACTTCAAAATCGGGCCTTTTGTAAAACAGCAGTGATATGGCTGGCTAATTAACTGCAATAAATACTGACATTTAATAAGCAGATGAACGAAACAGACACAAAAGCAAACAGCAACTCTTAGCAAGAACTGTGATTAAAATGCCCCAATCTGAGTGGTCGCAGACAAGAAGGCTGCTACAGATGCTGCATAATGACTGCTTTGAAATAATTCAAAGTTCAGATGCTCAGAATCTATCATCTTTCAGGACTCAAGTCACTTCTACATTCAGGGATACTCTGCTCCTCTACAAAGGCTGACGGAGTAAGGTGACAAGAGACAGATGGAGTATATTTCTCTTGCTATTCTTGTGTGTAATACTGTTTTTCATATAAATTAACTTCATATATTACTACTGAGGAAATTAAAACTCCGACAGGTTAAATGACTTGCCCAAGGTCACACAGCTAGCTAGGAAGGAGCAGGGCTTGGGGTGTGAAGTCACACCTTATTTCCAAGCTCATCTTCCTGCTCCACTATATGACACAGCTGTGACAGTGTGCACATCTCTATCTAAAACAGACATCATCCAGCCATGTGTAGATGCACGTACTGACAACACAGTTTTCTCTCTCCCTCTCTCTCTCCCCACCCCAGAAAGAGAGAGAGAGAGAGAGAACTCTGTATATATAGATAGAGCTAGAAATAGGTATATACTTGAAGTCCTCTACCTTTTATTTACCACTTTAGGTAATGATCGCAGGAAACACTTCAGGGAGGCATTTATAAATCAGAGTATAGCCAGATTTTCTCACAAGAAAGCATTTTACATTGTCACAGTGGTGGAGTAAACAATAGTAATAATAAATGTTTTCAGTTAGATGTCAGCCCGGATAAAATGCTTGGCTTGTCTGGAAATAGCTATCTTTTCCCACCAGTTACATCCTTGTATTGTGTTCTTCTGCTGCTATCAAATGAGTGCGAGGAGGGACTGAGAAGGAGGGGGGTGGAGAGAGAGAAAGAAAAAGAGAGAGGGAAGGAAGGAGAGAGATGGGGGAGGGGGGAACAGACTCCTTAACACCCAGCTATTTGAGAAGCTAAAACTAGGTTAAATACAAAGTTTTCATTTCAATTGACAAAGAGGTCACTGGGCCATCAGGTAACTGGTTCAAATATCAAACATTCTTGTTCCACATCTCAAAATATCTTTTTGTCACCCCAAAGGCGCTGTTCCACAACAGCCCCAGCGGTGGCCCACAGTGGTGAGAGTATCCAGCTGGCTAAATCTTAAGGGAAGGTTTCCAGTCACGAAAGACTGAGGGGCAGAGTTCTGAGGGGCTGGAATTAGGAAACAACTTCCCTCAACAGAGTTCTCCCAATCCAGCCAGGGGGACTTGGGAGACTGGAAAGTGTCTCATTAATGCACACTCCAATTCTTGTCCCATTCACTTTTTCCACCCTTTTCCCAGCAAGACGTACAAGTGGCTCCCGAGTTTCCCTCTAGAGTCAGATGAACTTCGCACTCCAACTTGCCTTCTACTAATGCAGCGCCACAGGACTGGATTTCATTCTAGAAACTTGTAGAGGAGATACAAATGCCTAGTTTCATGACCCAGCAGATGGTTTGGAAATATCTCAACCCTTAGACACCCTCTCCCTCAAAGACACATGAGGGTCATAATAGAAGCTGACAATAATCCTAATGACAATAAAAAGGAAAAAAAGCCCTAGAGAGGTGGAAACAGGAACTTTGTCAAGACTGTATTCAAACTAAAGCATGTATATGAAACCACCTCTGTCAACATCTGATTTCTGCCTTACAAACCCTGTTGGAAGGGGAGCTACATGCTTCTGACCAAGGGCTACAGTATTTTTTTAAAGATTTTATTTATTTATTTGAGAGAGGGAGAGAGCACAAGTGGGGGGAGGGGCCGAGGGAGAGAGAGAGAGAGAAAGAGAGAAGCAGACTCCCTGCTGAGTGGGGACCCCCCCCAACACAGGGCTCTATCCAAGGACCCCGAGATTATGACCTGAGGCGAAGGCAGACGCTTCACCAACTGAGCCACCCAGGTGCCCCAAGGGCTACAGTTAAGAGCCTTGGGGTCAGAATGCCCTCTGGACTTGGCAGGTTCCTTTGCACCCTGAGGCATCTGGAGTCCCCTTAAAACTTACCAGCCTATACGACAGCTACCCCAGACAAAGCTGGGCTTTTGTTTTGAAGTCTCATTTAGAACAGAGGGGCAGGATAAGGGAAATAATGGCTTTTAAACTCAGGGTGAGCAAACCAGAAGGGGGTCTTATCCTCTTGGTGTTTATTTCTTGGAGCAAATTTCTAACTCTTCTCTGAAGCCCCCTGTTGAGATCAGGGACAAACAAGATGAAAGGGAGAAAGCAGAGGAAACAGAACAAAAGAACTCCAACCTCAGGATTCTGAGCCCTCAGCAAAAACACAAACAGGATGAGTCTGTGTGTTTGATTTTTTGTTGGCTGGATGTTGGGAGGAGTATTAAGGAGGATACGTCCAGCAAAGACCTGGGCTTTCTGAACAAGCTAAACCAAGTCTGGCAAAGTCTAACACCTGAAAGACCGTGGCTTAGAGGCCCAATGGTGGAGGCCCATTTCTCTGCTTGGAAGCAGAGTTTCTGCCTCATACCTTGGCTCCACCATGACCAACCTGACACTTTGTTGTGAGGGGGACACAGGGAGATGGCCAAAGGGAACTGGTTACAAAGCCCACCCCACTCTCACCCACTCCCCCTAAAATTCCCCGATTGTATCTGGAAGGCTTTCTTTCTCGGTGCTGCTGCATTCATCTGCTGAACTGTTCGTTTTCAGGTCTGCCCGAGCTCAGGAGCAAATCTGACAATTCAGTTATTTTTAAGAGAAAGTAAAAGTACGTGTCCAGGTAATGGTCTCCGTACTCATTTTTATGTGGATAAGAAAAGTCCTTCCGAATACAAATGCATGTGATTGATATGGAAGGCATACGTGCTTGCAGAGGGCAATAAAACAAACATCTCAGGATCCTTGGGTGACTGGATCCCACTGTGTGGTAGACCACAGGATTTTTCTTGACATCTCTTGGGTCAACCATCTTAATGACTTTTATGCAAATGTCTCAGCCTTCTTTTAATGCTATTTTGGGGGGAGAAAAGACACTTTTGAGAATCTACTGAAATCTGTGGACCTTTGTTTGAAAACACACACACACACACACACACACACATTTTTACATACAACTTCAGGGAATTCACAGATCTTTTAGAATCCATACATAGAATTCCTCAGGGGTCCATGGGCCTAAAGTTAAAGAATCTCTGGTCTAGAAAAAGAGTTAACATTTATGGAGTATTTACTATGTCAGGCACCATTCTAAGTGTTTTAAATAGATTCTCTCAATTAATCATAACAACCTCATAGGGTAGGTACTTCTCTATTTTACTGACAAGAAAACAGTGGCAGAGAAAATCACTTGCCCTAGGTCAAACAGCCAGTAAGTGGCAGAGCCAGGGTTCAAGCCCAGGCCATCTGGCTTTGGAGCTCCTCCTCATAGCCACCAAGTCACAGCTGTGAAAGGAAACAAATGAAAGTACTTTTTTTCACAAAGCCCAAGCTTGTACCAGCTTCCTTTTTTTCTGAGGGGATTGGGCAGGTGTGAGGATAATCTGCTTCCCCACTGGGTACAGAAGGGATGCCTGGCCAAGTAGTACATGCCTACTACTAATATTGTTCAAACGAAAACCAGTCAGGCCCTCTACTTGGCTTCCAAAGAATAGGCCTATGGCATTGACATTAGCCCTTGAGCTTTGAGATCTCGACCCAGTAGTTGAGATTAGTTCCAGGGTCATGAACTCAAAATACCTACAAGGTACCAGGAAAGTAATGCAAACATGAGACACAGGCAGTTGGGAGAGAGGGGAACCATGGCTAACTGAAGAGTGTATGTCCTATTGCCAAGCATTCACATTTAACGACAACCAAAAAAAAAGTCCCATGAAGGCCAAACTAAAGACATTCAGAGTGTGGCCATCAGTCTGTGACCTCTGGGTAGACCATCTCCTTCCCACTCTTTAGGTATTTCCAAGTCAGGAGTGCAGGGAATATAATCTGTAAGCAAGGGACACAAACTAGCCCGTGTCACAAACAACAGCGTGCTTTGCATTTTGTTAGAACCACGCTTTTCCGTGCTAACCAACCGAACAATAAGTCACTAGCCAAAAGGTCCAGACTCCCCAGAGAAGAAGGTCCCGGCAATAGGTGATAGTCCCCATCACGTACCTCATACATAGGGCACACTCAAGGTCAGACGCATCCACAGAGGATGGCAGTGGAACACTGACAGCAGCCTCGGCCCGCTGCTCAGCCGGAGGATCTGCGATTTAGAAAGCAGTAAGTCAGAGATGGACCAACCGTGCTTTCACAGACAGCACTCCCGAGGCAGAAGAACCCCTTCAGTTTTTTAGTTTGCCACTCTCAGCCTGCCTCCGAGAGGGTAGATTCAGGGGCCACCTGAGCCACCGCGAATGGGGTACCCCGAAGGACGCTCGGGAGGCTGCCGGCAGCCCCACAGGAAGAAAAATGTGAGGCCGGGAATGTCCAAGAGCCCTGCAGACTGGACTCCGATGCAACGGGCCCCTCACTGGACAGAAGTAGCAGCAATTCCATGGCCTGAGCCAGGCCTCCAAGGCTGGTACCGAATCCCGCCACTGCCAGCTTGCCCTGGGAAGACGGGAGACGGCTGCGAAGGAGGAGGGCAAGGCCTGACCACACCTCCTTGCTCCTCCGGTCCTGGAGTGGAGACGAGGGTGGGGGCAGGTGGGCCTGGAAAGAGGGGACACCATCAAGGGCGTGAGGTGTCATTACTCGAAACAGGGCCTGACCTTATGCCTTGGCTTTTCCTTATTATTAGTGGACCCCAGCAGTACGCTAGGTACCGTGTGGGCTCTCCCAGAGGCCTCATGGCGCCCCGAGGTGGCAGAGCTCAGTGCCAGAGCTGGGCTGCGCATCCGGAGCCCGTGGAGCCCACGGAGCCCTCCGACAGAGGCCAAGTAACCCGCCGACGCTGGTGAGCCCCGGCACCTCCTCCAGGCCCCCTTCTCCCTGGGTAGAGTCAGTACCTGGCTTCAAGGCTTTAGTAGGCACCTCTGGGTCTTGGGTTCCAATTTGACAATGCTTCCTTTTCTTTTCCTGGCACTTGCCAGCCTTGGCGGAGGCAGCGTCCCCCTTCTCCTTGTCTCTTGCCTGGCCTTTCTGGTCGCCTCGCTGCCCCTCCCCCTCTACTTTAACTGGGTTTGCCAGGCTGCTGTGGTCTCCCCCCGCCGCCGCTTCCTCCTGACTAGAACAGTGTGGGAGCTCCGGCTTTTCCTGGACGAAGAAAGAGCCAAATGTCAGTATCCCCTTAAGACCAGCATCGTCCGTCCTCTGACATTGCTACCCACCGGGGACAGAGAGAAAACTACGTAGCCCTGAACACTGAGTGGACGCACAGCTTAACTGGGGGGCAGTCAGAAGGCATATTTCCTCCTTCTGGCCACACAGCATCACCAACGAAGGCATGCCAGGCCTGGGTGAAACGGAAGAACTTCCCTAGGTAAGGATGGAAAGGTGTATAGAGGACAGACCCCTTGGGCCATGGTGAAGGGGACAGAGAGTGGGGCACCCACCCCTCTCCTGGCCAAAACTTTCCCCAGTTACTACCTGAGGGAAACCAAGGCACACAGTGGGTGTAGATCCTATCACTCAATCTCCGGCCGCTCTCACGGCCACTCCAGGCCATCTGCAAGCCCCACACCAGCTCCAAAAGGACTTTGGCTAAGGCTTTGGCACAGGTGTGTTCACAGGCCTGCGGAGTCACCTCAGGTTCCAGAGCTCTTTGTTACACTAGTCAAAAGAACTCCGTGTCATACCAGTCAAAAGACAAACTACTCTTTTGACTAGATTTTGAGTTAGAAGTCTGAAAAAGAGGCAAGTCATTTGGTAAAATAACCAATAATGTCTCTAGCCTTTTCAAGAATTTTTGTCCAGGAGAGAGCATTTGAAAATGAATCTAGAAATAAATCCAATGACAAGGTGTTTGTGCAGATTTATCTGGAGAACCCTGAACTCTACTCTAATTCCATAGTCCACAGGTCCAAATGCTCATGTTGTTTTCTTTCCTTCCAGCCCCTAGCCCCTCAAAATAGTAGATAGATGGAAAATGGGGAGTGTATAGTCGGGAGAGAACAGTGAGGTAAGGAGAAAAAGGATGTGAGTTTTCTCAGTCTCTAACCTGGGGAGTTCAGGGGATCTGCAGCACCAGAGCAGTGCTGCACCCTCAACTTTCCCTGAGCCCCAGGCATTGTCCATACGGGAGTACACTGCTTTGCAAAGTTTATGTGGAAGCCCAATCCCCCATTCCCCACAGCTGGCTCACCCCTGAAAGCCAGGGGTGCTATTTTCCTTCATCTCTGATTGAGCTGCAATGAGGAGTCACTCCAGGCACTTCTTCAGTTCACTATTAGTGTTCTCAGTCATGTACTCAAACATGATCTCAAACATTACTGAAATGCACTAGGGGTTCTCTGACCTCAGAAGATACTTGGTTCTGCCCCGTTTTTTGTTCTGTTTTGTTTTTTTAAGTCAGGCACACCTACTTTTTATTCCTTCTCAAGAGCGGGGAGAGAAGCAGGGAAAATGTTGTTTCCTGCCTGTCAGAGAACCCAAGAAACCGTGGAGATCACAGGGCTTCCATACAGGGGAAGGACACACGGCACGGATGGAGGGGAGACTGTTGCCTCAAGGAGCCTAGGTTTTCAGGGCTGAGTTCTGCCTTCAAGTCTGGACTTCTGAGCCCCAGCTTCTGGCCACTTGCCCTCTGCTGGGAAAGCCAGGGCCTGGAGCCCAGCTCTCCGTGGTTCTCTTCCCTTGTTCTCAAAGATGGGCCCAAACACCCGTCTTCCTCCCAGGGACTTAACGCTTCCCAAATTGCTTCCCTCTTCCTCGCTACAGCTACATCCTGGAAGTCTACTGATGTGTAAGACACCATGCGGGAATATAAAATTACCTCCACTTGGGGATCAAATGGAGCTGTCTTTGCACAAGGAACTCAGCTGGTGCTCAAAGACCAGCTGCTTGAACAAACAAAAAAAGCAGGAAAGGAGGGGTTGTTAGGCCTCTTCCCAGGCTCCGCCCCTAAACTGATAAAGCCGCCAGGACTGAATGGTTCCAGGGGAAGCGGGCCAACTCCTTTTTACTTCTATTAAATCTCTCTCTCAGCTGGATCTGACCAAGAACTGAAAAAAATGAAGGTAATAAAACCAACCCCCCCCGGGACCGTGCCTGAAATCCAGTTTTATCTGTAAGAAATAACCTTCTAGCAAAGAACACAACCACTAGCGATTCCATTTCTTCCTTTTCAGGAACCGAAGGAGAGGTAGGGCTCACTCCCACGTTTGCCCACACAACAGCCAAACGAAGCATCGCGAGCGAGCTGGGCGAGTTGAGTTTTACCTGTGACAACTTTGGTAGATTATGACTGGTGCCTTCAGTAGCCATTGATTCTACGTGTTCCTTTAATCTAGGGTGAGGTGCCAACAACTTCAGGATATCGGGAAAATGTTCCTGAGAGTCCCCCGGGACTGATGGTGAAAAGAAACTAAGGAGAAGCTGTGACATAAAACAGAAGACTTCACTGCTTAAGTTTCTACAGGTGCTTGGGTGGTGGGGGGGAGGGGGAGGAAGGGGCAGGGGACACAGTTCGTGGGGTAAAACTCCAGGGAAGCAGCCTGGAACCAGAGACCCCAACATACAAGGGCAGGGGGCCTCAGTTCGGCGTGCATCAGAGGTACCTGGGGAGCTTATGACCACTCCAGTTTCCAAGTTCCCATGCCTGGCTCCCCCAGGTCTGAAGCGTGGCCCCAGAATCTGGATTTCAAAATGGCACCACAGATGCCTTTGTCACCCTAGCCAAAGTTAAGAACCATCACTCCCATGCTACCATTCCATAGAAATATCTGCAGTGGAAATTCAAGACCTATCTAGGAGGAAAGAGACAGAGAGGTGAAGGCAGGAGACAAACAACACCGGGGGACCTGCAGTCATGTCCGTAGCATGCCCGTGGATAGAAGTCTACACGTGTCTTCTAGGTTCCTCCATGTCTTTCCCCTGCCGGCCCATTTTGCCCCCTCCTTCCCGGGCCATCCTCCTTGGACCTTTAATCCTTTCCACAGTGAAGTGGTGGGAAGAGCAAAACCCAGCCTCTCCTCCCCCATTCTGGCCTTCACTGTGCAGAGACTGTCGGGTAACTTCAAGTACTGGAGGCAGGCGGGTTCCAGTCTGGGGCTGGTTTCCCTTGCGGTTGGAGAATGTGGGGGGCAGGGGAGGTGGCAGGTGAAGACCCAGAGGACCCAGAAGGGCCCGGGAGTCAAGGATGTGTGTTCTTGTGCAGGCTTCCCCACGAGCTGCCCTCATTCTTGTTTCAATTCTCCCCTGTGCCAGCACGGGTTACAGATAGACATGTGGACATACTGTATGTAACATGAAACACAAGAAAGCAGCTCGCTTGGCTTCGAACACACCTTGAAGTGTTTACCACTGGGCAGCCACTGCAGTGTCTGGAGACCCACTAAAGGATGCTCCACGCCCTTGCTCAGCAGAATAGGGTATGAACTGATCAAAGGAGGCTGACAGAAACTCCAACCAGACTCTGTCCAATTTAATTTGTCCCCTTGCTGGCCCCCAGCAGTGCCTTCACGATGTTCCTTGAGACGTCAACACTTTCCACATAGCCAAACCCTGCTCAGTCTCCAAGGCTAGCTCCGGTGCTACAACTCTAGCCCCCTGATGTCACCCGTCCGTTCGTGTTCTCTACTGCACATAATGGAGCACCTTATACTACACGGTCTCGCCCTAGTCTCAGAATCGTGCCGCACACGTAAGTCTTTCTCTCTAACCAGATGGCCAGCTTCTGGAGGCCCATGGCAGACATCCAATGCATACTCATCACCCCGGATGGAATTGAATTAAGACACTTATCCATCCCAGGGCCTAGGCAGAGGCCCGAGTGTTTAAGCCCAAAGTCCTCAGACAGATCGCAGTTTCCGTCCAGTTCTGGGAAGCCCACTTCCCAGGTCTAAGTTGTCGGTAAAGGAGTGAGGTGGGGAGGTACTCACAGTGCCCAGGGTCATAAATGCCAGCTTTCAGAGGCCCCTCCTCCCGAGGAACCAAAGTTGGCCTTCAGAAGCCCTCCTGAGTGGCCCAACAGGACCAACCCACTTCTGAAGCAGTCTCCCTGGAATTCTCCCCCAAAGAGCACGGTGCTTGCTTGTCGTGAGGAGCACCGCGTGATGTATGCAATTGTTGAATCACTATGTTGTACACCTGAAACTAATATAACAGTGTATGTTAACTAACTGGAATTGAGATAAAAACTTTCGAAAAGAGAGCATGGTGCTCTTCAGTGGCAGCCACACAGCATCCCAAGGGACAAGGTTAAAAGGGCAGAGCACAGAGGGGGGTGGGAAGGGAGGCAGAAGGGAGAAATTGAAGGAGACAAGGCAGAAACAGCAACAGCACTTCACTTCTTACCTTTACTACCTAAGACCTCATTCTAGACCTTTGGAAAACAAAAGTTGGGGTCAACGCTCAGTGAGAATAATCATTCCACATGAATGAAAGTCAATTCCACTTCAGTGTCAGCCTTAGCAAGACCCGAATGAGTCAAGAAGGGGGAAAAGAAAGAATCTGAGGTAAAAACAAACACTAAAAAGAAACCTAGGCCTGGGAGTGCCTAAGGTAGCTAATTACTGCCAAGTGAAGCTGGACCATCTTTGTCAAATCTTCAGCCCTGAAACTGGAACGGTACAGTAAATAAGAATTGCTGAGGGCCCTCAGTGTTTGTATATGGCTGCCGTGCCCTCATCACGGTCAGTGGGAATTTGCCTCTAAATTCTTGGCCCTGCTTCAGAACTTCAGGACACTCATTATGGGCATCTGCTCCCTTGTATTCTCTGGCATTTATAGGGCGCTGTGTAATACATGCAGGATTGGAAGGTCCTTGAGGACGGCGACTGTGGCTTATGCCTCGTTGGGTCTCCAGAGCTTAGCATAGCACCTTGCCCCTTCCCATTAGGTGGTTGTGGAAGTGACACTAGCTGGTCTCTAAAAGTGGCTGGAGAGAGAGGTCAACCCAACTGATGACACCAGAGCCTCTCAGGCCAAGTAGGAAATGGACGAATAGGAGTAAAGAAACCACTCACCCCTGGATCTGACACCTGCCTCTGTTGGCCTTTGCACACTCTGCCCCTAAAGTCAAGATTCTTCTAACCAACCTCTGTCCATCCCCCACCCCCAGAACCAGATGGTCCCACTGCTACTCTCCACCCCACCGCAGCAGTGAGCGCCAAGCCCCCTGGCATGTCCTCCTGGGACAGAAGAATAGTGGAATGGCTAAGAAGGCAGACTCTGGAAGCAGATGGAGTTGGGTTTACGTGCCCTTTCACCAATCACCAGCTGCATGGTCTCGGGAAGTCACCAAGCCTCGGCTTCCTTATCTATCTCATCTGTAACATGGGGATAAATAACATCAGCTACCCTTATAGGGATGTTGTGGGGATTAAATTATATTCTCCACAGAGAGCCCTAGCACAGTGCCTGGTGCACTGGAAATGCTCGATAAATGTTAGCTGTTATTACTATTATTTACACCATGGACTACACTTAAGATTCAGGGAAGGGTTCACAGCCTGGAGCAATTCTCTGCCACCAGTAGTCCTCTCAAGAACACCTTGTCCACTTTCCCAAACCAGGTCAAAGCAACTTTCCAGAGAAGAAATCTGTGCGAGGCGCAACCTCCAGAGCTTGGCTTCCCCCTAGTTCACTGATTTTGCTAAAGATTCCTTTCTGGAGCCTTCAGAAACCAATCCGGTCTCTTGCTCCCTTCCTTCGTCCATGGCTCTGCCAAACCTCACTGGGACAGAGGCACTTGAGACAGGTGGTGAATAGCAGGAGGGGCACGGGGAGGGCAGAGGCCACCACTGACTGTCAGCATCCAACTTCCGGGCCAATTAGCCACACACCATGAAAGCACACTGTGGAACAGTAAGCAAAGCAGTTCATGAACTGAGGACGCTTGAGCCCTTCACCAGGGCTAACATTCCATGAATTAAAAAACAAAACAAAAGAACCACATTCTCCTGGGATTCAGGAGTCAGAATGACTGCTTGGATTATATCGTAATGGTCCCTGACTTACATTTGTGAGACAGTGTGTGTTCTATTTCTAGCAAAGGCTGAAGGCTGGAGTTCTGCATATAGCAGGGGAGAGGGTGACCAACATTCCTGGCGAGGAGCTGGCTGCCCTGTGTGGCTGGTGAAGCTGTGACTCAGCCAAAGCAAAGTTCTACAACTGCAGGCAGCCCCACACCCCTGACCTCTCATCAACAGCCAGATTCTCAGCAGTGAGCCTCCACCCCCATGTTAACTTGTTTGCTTTGCTTTGCTTTGGTTTGGTTTTCCTACTCACAACCCAGACCCTGAATCTAAGAAGCAAGAACATTCCTCGGAGGCTCCTCCAAAAATGCAGGAACTGCTCAATCTGATTACATATGCCAAGAGGATGGTGTTTCTAGGCAATTGGCACTTGTGTCTCCTTCCTGCCCCCTTAACCAAGGGAGCCACCCACTCAGGGCCCTAAATGCCAGGAAGGGCAGTTCCCTCACTCCCCTCCTTGGAGAAGACAGGGAAGTGGGAGCCCACTGGGCAGCTGGACCTGACATCATCTCAACTCACCCTCTGGGCTTCAGATCTTGCTCTTTTGTTCTTTCCATCGAGGGACACACAATATAGAAACTCCCTTAGTGCTTCCTCCACCTTGCCTAAGGTGGCTAAGGCTTGTGCTTTTCTGAAGTGTGCCTGGAAGAAAACATTAGCATTCAATCCTGTTCTTATTCACCTACTGACTTATTGACTAGCCAAACACTTAGTGAGTATTCATTACTCTGTGAAGGTTTTAGAAGGTCTACCTTATCTACAGCCCTATCTGTTGGTAAATGTTCTGAAGCCCATTTTACAGAAGATGAAACTGAGACCCAGAAAAGTGACTTGCCCAAAGGAACACAGCTGGTAAATTGTGGAATCAAGGTTTAAGTCTGGGACTGACTGCTACCAAAGTCCAATTTCTTAACCACTGTGCCATACGACCTCCCCGCTGCCCCACTGTTGTGTTGGAGGTATTGCCAAATGTAGCAAGAACCCTCCTTTAAGCACATACTATCCAGCGTCCAGAACCCACCCAGATAGGCCTTTCTATTAACTAGTCTGTCAAGTAAAGACCTAGTCCACATTACTGGCTGGGTGATTGCCTATACTTGCTGACCATTTTTCAGAAGAGGCCCAAGGGAAAGGACATGACCTCTCCAAGACCTCAAGGTAGTTAGTGGAAAAGCTGGAACTAGAACTGTGGTCTAGGACCCCAAGAATGCTCTTCCCCACAAAGCTGACTTCCCTTCAAAGGGCTAACCAGGGACTGAGCAAATTCTTTCCCTCCTGTGGGCTCAGCTCACTTCTGTCCCCTTCCCACATCTTTAAAAGTGTAAAGAAGTTTTAGGGGCGCCTGGGTGGCTCAGTTGGTTAAGCATCTGACTCTTGGATTCGGCTCAGGTCCTGAACTCCTGGCTTGTGAGATCTAGCCCTGCATCGGCTCCCCGCTTGGCGGGAGTCTGCTTGAACATTCTCTCCCTCTGCCCCTTCCCCCATAAATCTTTAAAAAGAAAGTATAAAGAAGTTTTAGGGCTCTCCGGGGTCCCCGCCCAGCTGCCCCGGCAGAGAATCTCTAGAGGTAGCAGAAGAACATCTTGGGGAAGAGGGAGGAACAAGAAAAGAGGTGGGAAGAGGGCTACATTCTCTCTTGTGCCTTGGGACAGGTGGCCTTTGCAACTTGGCTGGGAGGGCATTACTCTTGAGTCAGTTAGGGTGCCCCTCGGGGGCCTGCTCCCCACTCCCTTGCCTCCACGGCTGACCCTGAGTCTAACTTAGAGAAGGAAATGATCCAGGTTGCAGCTGCTGGGCACTCCCAGCTTCCCCTCCTAACATGCTTCTACAGGCCCTGGGGCGGTGCCCTCTGGCTCCGACCTGGCTACAGGCTCCACCAGCAGGGATCTGCCTTCTTGAGCTGTGACCCCTGCTCCAAACCTCTTGAGGTCCTCCCCTGTACCCCCACACTTTTCCTGGAGCCTAATCTTGGCTGATATTTGGGTGCTGATGGCTTCCTTCATTGCTCCTCCCAGCAGCGTTTACCAGAGGCCCCCTGGAGAAAGGCTTGCATGACATTTCAGGGCAGCTAGAGGGGATAAATGTTGGGAGACTGGAGACTAGGACCCCTCCAATCATACCAAATAGCAACCCACCTGCTCAGGGCAGCCAGCCCACCCACCTGCAGGATGTGTTGAGTACCACTGAGCCTGGCTGGACTGGCTGGACTAGGGCTGCCAGAGGTACAGCCCTCCCCTAGGGGCACTGCACAAAGAAACGGTGGGAAGTATGCAAATCGGAGTATGGGCTGGTTTTGAATCATATGCATCAGTTCAAATCTTCTCTCAACCCTCAAGACAATACCATTCATTCTCTGCACTTCCTCTCCGCTTACCCCAGCACTCTGGGGAAATGAAACTCCTATTTACTACTTCCACCAAGTCTGATTTCACTGGGGAAGTCACTTTTCCCATTTTATCTGAAAAGGTCTACTACTCCTTAGCCCTGCTTCCCACTGTACTATGAAGGCTCCCACCCTTAGGCCCTAGGTTTAGGGTGGAAGCAGAAGAAGCTGCAAGAGAAATCCTCTTACCCCCAGGCAGCTTCCTGACCTGCACTGCTATAAAGCACAAAATGTTCTCACGGAAGCTCCTTTGGGTCAAGACACTGGTGACTTTTAGTAAACTGTAAATCTGTTCCTTGGGAAGGAGGACATACTACTGCCATAACCCATGAAAACCTTCTCATTGAAGCACATAAGAGATTCACTCTGACACTAATGGCCCAATGTGCAGGTCCATAAATGCTTTATCTGAGGTTCCCAATTCCAGAAACAGTCTGATAATCCAAAGTTTCATAAGCTTGGCATCAAAAGTCATTAGGTGGCAAATATATGTGATATAGAATACATCATAGTCTTTATTTCACTTAGTGTGAATTTTCATGTAATGTACGGCAGAAATATTAGTGTGTATGATTGTGAGATGCCTTCCAGAGCTCACTGAAGGTGCCACCTGGTGTATGGTCTTTCTGAAATCAGAAACGTTCTGGACTCTGAACACTTCTGGCCCCATGGGATTCAGATAAGGGATCACAGATCAGGACCTGGGTAAGGTGGGTTTCCGAGGTGGCATCCTGGGGGTTATGTAGAGAGAACACTGCACCAAGGCCCAGCAAACGGCAGAGCTCCCAGAATGGCCTCTTGATCATGCTCACCAGTGACCCTCACACCACATTCCGCAGGAGGCAAGTGGGGCAGACAGCAATAGCTGTGCTTTGCAACCAAAGACCCTTGGGGTCCAGAGAGTGAAGCGACTTCCCCATGGTCACTTAACTTGCAAGTAGTAGAGCCCAGGCTCAAACCTAATCTCCTAAACAAAATATTGACACGTGGCTAAGGGCCAGTCCTGAGGCCAGAGATGCAGAAAGTGACACTTTGCATCCTAGCATCCTGAGAGGTGCCTAGCCTTTCTCTGACCACGCCTTCATGTGACCTAGATGTTTGGGGATACCAGCAGACTGATTATATTAAGGACTTGAAATAACGCAACCAGCCAGCAATACTTCTCTCGTGTTCCTCTTTCTATTATTGTCCCTGAAAATGATAGAACACATAACGCTATGTGCCAGGCATTGTTCTAGGCATCTTACATGTATTAGCTCATGTAATCCTCACAACGGAACCCTGTTAAGTAGGTGCTTTGAATATCCCCCCTCCCAATTTTAGAGATGAGGAGATGAGGCACAGAGAGGTTAAGCAACTTGCCCAGGACCACACAGCTGGTAGAAGTAGCAGAGCTGGGGCATAAACTCAGGCGGTCTGACTGCTAAGTCCATGTTCTGAAGAGTCACAAAGCCTAAGCGGCTCTGCAGTCATCAGGTGGAGAAGAAAACTGGGGAAGAATCCAGTTCCCTTGCAGACCCCTGAGTCACCCTTTGCCAGGGACCCCCAGCTCCTTAGCAAAGCCTTTTCCCTGCTCTGCTTGAGCTCTAGTGCCCCAAACCCTCAGGGAGGCAGCCCCTCCTGCCAATTCCTGTCTATAGGACAAGCCATTCCCAACCCTCCCATTCCACTCACCTTAAAACCCATTGGGCGGAGCTTACATGCTATTTCTGCATCATGCAGTGCGTCCTCATGAGACTCCAAGGTGAAATAAATTTGAGACCGGTTGCTATAAAGCAAGTGGTCATTTGGAGCTGCCAGAATGAGGGGGAAAAAAAAAAGCTCTCATTAATGGTCTCAACGCAAAAACGTAAGTCCTGTATGAGAACGGATCTTGAGCAAATGGCAAGTTATCTAGGATTTTTCTACTGGGGATCCAAAGGGTTAGGCTCCATTTCCAGCCCTGATATCGCCCTGCCTGCCACCATCCCCCAACCCCCGCCCCTCTGGGTCTGAGCTTCCCCAGCTATAAAGAAGTATTTTTTTAAGTTTGTTTATTTTTATTTATTTTTTATTTTTTGACAGAGAAAGGAGAGCAGAGGGAGAGGGAGAGAGAGAATCCCAAGCAGGCTCCACGCCCAGGGCTCCATCTGACAACCCTGAGATCATGACCTGAGCTGAAATCAGGAGTCTGACGCTTAACCAATTGAGCCATCCAGGCGCCCCATAAAGAAGTAATTTTTTCTCCTTTCTCAAGCAGTTCCTTAGAGGGCCTGTGGGGTCAGTGGTGCATTAGCCGCTCTGACATAGAGGAAAACCTGGCCCCCTACTTTGAGGCTATGCGTGGCTACCAACTGGCAGCCTGGCTTCTGAGTGAGGTATCACTCACAAGGAAACAGGCCAGGGAGGAGGGAAAGGGAGGTGGCCAGATGTGACCCCCATCCTGCCCACCAGGAAGACAAGTCCAGGATAGTCTTCTCATGACATTAGCAACACCTCTGTCTACAAAGCCCAGGGCCTATGAAGTTTCTCTGAATGCACCTGCAAGGCTCCATCCTCTCATTAGATGGCCAAATGTGAGTGAACCTAAACAAGGCTGCTGGGAATGAAGTGAGCTCGGCTCTCACTAACACTTTGAATCACTAGGTGCCAGGGCTGGACCGGCCTTTAGAGATCACCTGGCTCAATCAATCCATTCTTCAGATGAGGAAAATCAAGCCCAGGGAGCAGATGGCATCTGCTCCAAGTCCTAGAGCTAGCTGGTCAGACTTTGAAGCTTTGAAGCTGGGGCGGGGGAGATGTTCCTTTTTCTGAAGGGTGTGCACTACATAGAATAATAAGGGGACACTGGCCATCTTCCAGCACAGAGATACTCGCCTACTGGGGAGGCCCCGTACCTCTTAAGAAGGTAAGTCTGTCGTGATTTTTTTCACCCTGACCGCTCAGATTAACAAAACTGAAGGAAGAAACTCCTAGGGGAAAAGCGGTGGCAGCAACAAAGGGGGAGGAAGACAGCGGGAAGGGGCTTTCCTGGCCCTTGAGGTATGGCTGAAAGGAATGGAACCTCCCTTGGAGATCTGGGTTTAAGTGACCTCCATTGTCTCCAGGTTGCCCGGCTCCTGCCCAGGGACTGGGCTCCAGCTGCGGCTGCTGGAACACGCTTCGTGGGGTTTTTCCCCAAGGCTGTGCAGAGGACTTGCTTGGGTGCCCATTACTTGCTCTCCAGACGGTAGCAGAGTTTACAGTGTATGCTATCCCTTTTGTTCTGCACTTGCCAGCCCGGTGCCGGCTCACAGTGTGCCTTTGCCTGCGCACAGGATGTGCGTGGGGGGAGGGGTCCTCCTCTACCTCGCCCTGCAACCTTGCACCGCCAGCCCGCGCTCCTCCCCCTCCACTACCTGTTGCAAATTCGGGTAAGCAAGTCAACACGTGGAGCCTCGAGCCCACCCCCTCCTCCAACACGTCGGAGTCGGGCTCAGGACACCCTGGGATCCCCAGAGCCCCCGCCTGCCCGGCGCTGCCGCCTCCTCCCCGGCGCGCTCCGCCAGACGCCGCGCCCCGCCGGCCGAGCTCCCGGCGGCTGGCCCGAGCTGGGCACTACCGGCCCGCGGCTCCGCTGCCACTTCCTGGGTCGGGACGCGGAGGGTCGGCGGGGGCCGCTCCTCGAGGGAGCTCTGGCGTCCCGGTGCGGCCAGAGCCCTGGGGCTGCCCACGTTTGCCCTTGAAGCCGCCAAGCCCACCCGTCCCTCCTCCCGCAGCGCGGCAGCTGGGCGGGGCCCGAGGCGTGCCCCCCTTCGTAGCCAGCCCGTCGTCCCCGGGGATCCCCGAGCAGTTGCGCCGCCCGGTCGCCCGCCGGGCTGGCGGGGTAGGGGTCCGAGGAGAGGGCGCAGGCTGCGGGCGGGGTGGGGGGGGGCATCTATTTCAGCCGAGGATCGTGTGATAGGAAGCGGTGACAAGGAGTCACAGGGCAGCGGGGCGCGAACGCTCCCCTCCCCCCCGCACACGCTCGCGGGATGGTTTCCGAGGCGAGCGTGGCCCACTTCGGTTACCTCAGCCGTTACACAATCCCGCCCGCGCGGAGGAGGGGCCGCCCGGCCCGGGCCGCTCGCGGCCCTTATGCAACCAGTGCTCTCCTGACCTAATTCCACGCCGGACCCACCCCACCGGGAGCCGCGGCCCCGGAAGGGCCGACTCCCGCCGCGGCGGCGGCGGCCCCGGGCCGGGCGCGAGCGGCAGACGCCCGCGCCGACCGAACGTCGCGGCCCGGCGGGAGCCCGGCGGCCCCGGCGCGGGTGTGGGCAGGGTGCGAAGTTCCTCCGCCCGCCGGCAAGGTGCAGGCAGGTGCGAGAGGAGCTCCGGCGCGCGGAGGCAGGGGGCGGAGAGACAGGGGCCGCGCGACCCCGCGCAAGAGACGGGGGTGGGGGGTGGGGACAGAGATGCGAAGGAGACAGAGAAAACAGTGACCCAGACAGACGCTGACGGAGGGACTCGGGAATACAAGCCACGAGGAGACACGGAGAAAGACACAGAGCGACAGAGACAGACAGGGACACAGAGAAAGGGCGATAAATTGGTAGCGACAGAGACCAAGTCAGAGCCCGAACTCCAGACACCCCTCCCCCACTCAGGTCACGGCCCGCCCGCCCCCCCCAACGGTCCCCCCAACGGTCCCCCCAACGGTCCCCCAACGGTCCCCCGCGCCCGCCTCGGCCCCGGCCCGCCCCGCAACTCCCCGCCGCGTTCGTTGCCCCGGCCGGCCCGGCCCGGCGACGCGGTGGGCTCACCCAGGCGAACCGCCTCGTTGTACTTGAGCAACGCCGCCTCCACCTGGCGCTCGCGGTACAGCCGGTTGCCCTCGTGCCGGAGTTGCGACGCCCGTGCGGGGCCGGGGAACAACTTGCCCAGGAGGCCGCTGAGCACCACGTTGACCCGCAGCGGCGGCGGCGGCGGCTGCGGCGGGGCCGGCGGCGCGGCCGCCACCGCCGCCTGCTGCCCGACTCGCCGGACCCCGCGCGCCCTCCCGGCGGCCACCATCAACGCCGAGAGCTTGACCCCGCACAGGGCGCAGCGCCGGTCGGCTGCCCGGCCGCGTTCCAGGCACAGTTTACAGAAGGTGTGGCCGCACGACAAGGACACGGGGTCTGACAGAAACCCATGGCACTTCCGGCACTTGAAGCCGTCCCACACCTCGGTGGCCGTGGCGGCCGCTGGCGCCCCTGCCTCTTCCGCCGCAGCCTCACGGCTCGCCGCACCGCTCCTGTCCGCGGGCGCCGGCGGCAGCGCCTCGCCTGGAGGGACGTTCTGGGCCAGGCAGCGCACCAGTTGTTCCAGCTGCTCGGCCACCAGCTGCTGCCGCTCGGAGAGCTGTCTGTACACCTCGAAGGCTTCCCGGAGACGCCCCCCCGACGCCAGGGCGTCAGCCTGCTGGAGCAGGACTTTGCACTCGGGCGTCGAGGGACTCGGAGGCTGCTCCTCCGGCCCCGGCTCCGGCTCCCGAGTGGCTAAAGGTGCGGAGCCTTCTGTAGCCGCCTCGGGCTGGGGGCCCATGTCGCCGCGGGCCGCGGCTGTCGCGGGCTCCGCCAGTTCTAAGTTGTTGCCGCCGAGCTCGGCGGGCAAGCTCAGCATCTGTCCAGTCTGAAGTGAATCGATAGAGAGACAGGCGCGCCGGGAAGAGGCGTCTAGGGGCCAGAGACCCAGAGCAGAGAGCAGCGACTGACGAGAATCCCGACTGCCACGGCCGCCGCGTTGCCGCGCGCCGGTCCCTGCCGCGCCTCCAGGAGCGCGATGCCGGCCGCCCCGCGCCGACTAATAACTGTCCTGTCTCAGCAAAGTGTTATATAAAACAGTACCACGTGACGCGCCGCCACGCCGCTCATTGGCGGGCGGCAGGGAAATTGTTACAAAACCAGTTTTGTAACAGTGTTGCGCTTGCTTCTTTTGGCTTCGCTTTTCTTGGCGTCTTTTTGAGGTTGTTTATGTTTACTCTCCTCCTTATTTCCCCCTCACAATGTGGTTGCTTTTCTGAGGAGAGGGAGGGGAAAAAACCCGAAGTCTTCTCCCGGGTTTCTCGGTCACCAAACCCTACCCGATCCCACCTTCAAACCCGCCGGGAGACCGGTCCCCTCGGCACGCCGTTCGCGGGCGGCCCTCCCCCAACCCATCCCTCGAGACCCTAAGACCTCGAGGTGCGCGGCCAGCCAAATCTCTGAGGAGACGCGGAAGGCTCGCCCGCCTAGGGGCTACGGTTGACGTCGGCAGAGGGAAGCGTGTGGGGACGGTCCCCGGGAAGCCCACACCCCCCCCCCACTCCAGTTCCGGCCGCGGCTCGCGAGCCCTGGGAGCCCCGTCCCGGCTGCTCACATTCGGGGTCCCTAACCGCCTTCCCCGGGGAGCCCCCCCCCAAAGATAGTGACTGTAGTCATCCGAGGGCGCTTCTGTGCTGGGAGCCACCCGGAGCAGCGGGCCCGGCGGGCGCACAAGTTGGGTGGCTCTCGCCGAGGGGGCGAGGGACCCGTCAGGAAGATGCACTTGCCGGACGGGGCCCAGGGGAGGTGCCTCGCGTGCTCCGCGCCTCACCTCTCTCCCGCCAGCGCCAGAACCTGCGGCGGGCGGGCACGAGGCCCTGGGGGCGCACCAGGGGGCCTGTGGGGGCCACGAGGGGGCGCGGCCACGAGAACTCCGCTCGGATCAGCGGGTCCCCTGGGGGCGTGGGAGAACCGCAGGCGGGACCGGAACCGAGAGCGCCCCTCCGGGGAAAGTCCGCGAGTCCTGGCGCGCTCGAGCGGCGGGCCGAGCTGCGTCCAGGCTCGCTGCTCCGGAGCAGCGCCGCGTTCTCGGCCCCGGCGCGTCGCAGCTGGGGGCTGCGCGGGGGCTGTGTGCAGGCGGCGGTGCTGGGCTCGCGGTAGCTGGGCGGCCTCGAGGGTGCCCCGCTTCCTTCCAGAAGGCCCGTGTCAACTGCTCACGCGATCTCTCCCCACGCCTCGCCCTCAGAAGTTGACGGGAGCCACACGCACAAACGAAGAGGCTTCGAGACCTAAAGGAATAAGGCACAGCCCCCACGGCCATGCTGCTGCGAGCAAGGGCGCGGGGTCTGGGCTTGCCTCTGGCTCCGGGAGCCCCCAGGGCCTGCGGGCTCGGGGCAGTGTCTGGAGCCGCGCGCGGGGGCCCAGCGCCGCCCCAGCGCCTGAAGACCTGCAGTTGGCTCCCGCTGTGGCCATTTCTTAGTTGAGGGACCTTGGGCAAGTGACCTAAACTCTAGGAACCGATGTGTGGGGTTCTGAACACACGTCAGGGATGATCTTAGTCGGGATCAAGTCATGTTTCAGAGCTGGGGACCACAGGCTCCGTCAGGGCTCTGTGTCTCTTTAGGTCGTTAATCTCCCCTCGAATCAACACCAAAGCCCCCCAAAACAAGTACACTGTCGTGCAGCAATTTCTAGAGCCTCCCTCTGGTAAGACAGGACTGGGGAATGGGTCAGAGGGGAGAAGGAACGCTGGGACAGCGGGGAGAGAGACCAAGAAAAGAAACCAAGGAGCTCAGGATGTAGCCAGGAAGGCATAAGGCGCTCATAGGAAACCTTGCCTTGTAGCCCTAGCTTTGCCATGACTTGCTATGAGACGCTAGGCAAGTCCTCCCCTCAGGCCTTAGTTTCTCCAGATCTCGAAGGTTCTCTCCAGCCCTCGCCTTCAGTGGCTTCTATCCTAAGACTGACTTTCATGATACCAACTCAACTACTTAAGTACAAGACTAGTCCAGATGCTGGGGGTGGCGGTGGCTTGGACAAGGGAGTGAAGTCAGCAGTAGTAGAAGGACAGGGGCAGCTAGACTGCTGTCCTCTTCATCAGGGTCAGGCCTGAGCTAGATTTTAAAGATAGAGAAGTCAGGGGACTGGCCAAGAGGGGAGGACATGGCCATGCCAGGCAGCGGAGGAGGGAAGCCCCTTTCACCCTTCAAATAGCCCTGCTGTTGAATGGGCTCGGTCTTAGTCCATTCAGGTGGCCATAATAAAATACTATAGACTGGGCGGCTTATAAGAAACAGAAATTTATTTATCACACTTCTGGAGACTGAACAAGATTGAGATCAAGACTCCTGCAGATCTGGTGTCTGGTGAGGGCCCACTTCCTGGTTCATAGGCAGCCATCTTCCGGCTGTGTCCTCAAATGGTGGAAGGTGAGTGATCTCTCCAGCATCTCTTTTAAAAGGGCACTAATTCCATTCAGGAGAGTGAGAGCCCTTTTGATTTAATTACCTCCCAAGGGCCCCACCTCCAAATACCATCACATTAGGGATTAGTTTTCAACAAATAAATGGGGGGGGCGACACAAACATTCAGTCTATAGCAGGGTCCCCAACATTAATTATTTTTCTGCCCCTTCTGACACCTATAAGGAGGGACAGTCTGTAGGTAATGGGCAGGTAATGAGAGGTAATGAAAGGGCCATGAGATGGATAATGATGAAAACTTAATTCAAGATCTTCATCCCTTTGACAAGTTTTAAAAAAGATGTTGGTTACTGCCAGTTGTCTTCCGGATGCAGTTCTGAGATGTGCCTTGCTCCCTGGACCACCTTGATGGGTAAACATCCTCTGGGTTGGTTTCCCTCCCTTGCCCATCGGGGTTGGAGGGGGCAAGGAGAAGGCCAAGGCAAGTCAGGCAGTAGGTTTCAGTCCTGCAGGCATGGAGTAGAGATGCTCTCACCAGGTAGCCCCCTTTGGCATCTGTGTGTGCCCAAAGCTGACCATGAATTTGGCCAGGAATGTTAATAGCTGCCAGGGTGATGCAGGTTGCACTGGTACCGAAAACAGGCAACACCATGTACTCATTTCCAGACAGACTTCATCAGAGTTTTCCATTGTCTTTGCATATCAGGACTGCCTGTAGGATAACACCAAATGGGCTTCTATGGAATTCTGGAAAACATTACCACAGTGGCTTTCTTCCCTTCTTTATTTAAAGTAAACAAACATGACCTCGATATACATTTGTGGACCGACTCAAAAGTCTCCTACTCAAAACTTCCTCCGGAACCTCTGAGCTCACTAATAGGAGCTCCCTACAAAGGAGGGGAGGGAAGAGATGGACAACACTTTTTCAGATGCAAATATTCCCCTCGGAGTGCCTGGTGCTTCAAACCTCCCTTTAATTTGCTAGGATCCCCCTTGTGGCTAAGGTTGACCATGGGGCGGGCAGGAAGAGCAAGGGTTGATCTGCACTTCCTTTTCCAGTGACTACAGCAAGTTTTCCAACTGGGCGCTGAGGCACCTCTCTGGGGCCCAGAGGAGACAGCTGGTGGGGCTCTACCCTAGCTCCCTTCACGGGCAGCACTGCATCTGTTGGTCTGTCTGTTTCATGGTGAGCTTGGGGGTACAATCTCACTGAAGAAAGGCTTTCCCTTCATTAAAAATAAAAAGTCTGGGGCGCCTGGGTGGCTCAGTTGGTTAAGCGACTGCCTTCGGCTCAGGTCATGATCCTGGAGTCCCGGGATCGAGTCCCACATCGGTCCCTGCTCAGCAGGGAGTCTGCTTCTCCCTCTGACCCTCTTCCCTCTCGTTCTATCTCTCATTCTCTCTCTCTCAACTCCATTCTGGAAGGCAGGAGGCAAAATAAAAATAAAAATAAAAAAATAAAAATAAATAAAAAGTCTGACAAGACGAAATCAGAGAGGGAGACAAACCATAAGAGACTCTTAATCATAGACAAACTGAGGGTTGCCGGAGGGAAGGGGAGGGATGGGGGAGTGGGGGGCTGGGGTAACTGGGTGATGGGCATTAAGGAGGGCACGAGATATAATGAGCACTGGGTGTGATATGCAACTGATGAATCATTGACCTCTAATAGTACAGAAATAATACACCATATGGTAATTGAATTTAAATAAAAATAAATAAAATAAAAAGTTTGCAAACCATGGCAATTTTCACCTATTTTCACATATTTGTCGAGCATCTTCTATAGGCCAGGCACTGTGGTAGGTACTGAAGATACAGCATAGCAGCACTTGGCTCCCAGGTGCTCCCTTTACAAATGTTTGCACATACTCTTCCCACACATTCTCATCGCAGCTTCCTAGACAGACTATAAGTTCCATAAGGGCAAGACTAGTGTCTTGTGTCTTTCATCTCCTCCTCAAAGGACAGTGTTTGTTTTTGATTTGGTTTTGTTTTAGAGAGGGAAGGGGGAGGGGCAAAGGGAGAGAATCCTCAGGCTGACTCCCCACTGAGTGTGGAGCCTGACACAGGGCGCCATCCCAGGACGCTGAGATCAGGACCTGAGCCGAAATCAGGAGTCGGATGCTTAACCCACTGAACCACCCAGGTGCCCCTCAAAGGACAGAATTTGAACAGATCTTACTGAACACGGCAGTGGACATTTTGGCTCTGGATGGGAGAGTGCAGGGGACAAGAGGACATCCAGCTAGAAATCATACCTTTGCCCTGGGTCATTCACAGAGGAGAAAGTGAACATGCAGATAATTAAGCATCGACAGTCCTGTGCTCACTTTGGCAACACATATACTAAAACTGGAAGAAGCCGACAGTCCCATACAACCCTGCGTGCGCACACACACACTATGTACAGAAGCTTGGCCAAAGCACTTATTTACTGTTTACGTGAGTTTCTCATTTTATAAACTGGGGGTGACCCATCAATTATGTAGTCTTGGGGCACCTGGGTGGCTCAGATGGTTAAGCGTCTGCCTTTAGCTCAGGTCATGATCCCAGGCTCCTGGGATCGAGCCCCGCATCGGGCTCCCTGCTCAGCGGGGAGCCTGCTTCTCCCTCTGCCTGCCACTCCCCCTGCTTGTGCTCTCTCTCTCTGTCAAATAAATAAATAAAATCTTTAAAAAAATTATGCAGCCTTTATAGGGGGGAAAAAAAGACATCATGGGCGTTAAAGGCACTGACATGAAAAAGGCTGCCCCTCGCTATCTAGAGTAGCCAAAAGCCAGAGCTAAAAACTACAAGTGTGAAAACTTCACAGATCAGCCCTGGTTTCACAGATCAGGGAACTGAGGGCTAGCGAAAGCTGGTGATTTGCTGTGGGAATCCGTGACACAGCCTCCTGTCTCTGTTTAACGTTCTTTCCGTGTGAGCAGAAAGCTTCCAAAGGACACAGACCATCTCCCCAAGTAAGTCGGAAGTTATTTCAGGTTTCTTACACGATTTGCAATTCAACAAATGTTTATTGAAAATACACTACGTGCTAACAGACTGGCATTTGTGGGCAAGAATAGAAGGATATGCCACTGTTCTTAACCTCCAGTAGCTAACTGAGGAAATAAGAGGCAAAGATTTGAAATAGTTAAGTAAAAATAACAGGCAATATGTGAGAAGTGCCAAAATTGGGGGAACAGTGAGTCCAAGCGAGAGCGCAAAGGAGACAGACGGCTGCTTTCCATCTCATAGCGAAGGTGCCTTTAAGCCAAGCTGGAGAGGATTTAGCAAGGAAAGTTGAAACCACCTCACTTCTCAACCCTAGGGGGTTCCCTTCACATCAGGGGCCACCCGGCTGGGAAAAAGGAGAAATTCAAGGCAGCTGGGCTGGTCAAGGCCCAGGGATTTCTAATTTTAAAGGCTACCCATGTGATTATAATACTCAGCCAGGTTTGGGGTTTACCCACGTAAAAGGATAATGCAGAAGAGATTGGCTAAGTGCACCCCAATCCTTCTCTCCCTAGCCCATCCTCAGTTTCTCTGGGGGAGGTGGGTATCAATAATTCTTGTCTACTTCTTACTGAAGAGAAAACTGAGGGTCCAGAGACTTTCTTTCCCCCCACCCCCGCCAGAGACTTTCAGTGATGTGGTCAAGGTCCTTCAGCAAGTAGCGTGATCTCTGGTTTCCTGCCAACCAAGAGAAATAGAAAGATCAGAAGCTCTCCTCAAGGAAGATTTTGCTTCATTTCTCTGCAAGACAAATCAAACCCACTCGGTTGGCCAGAGTTGGTTGCCCAGAGGACAAAAAGGAGCAAGTCTCTGGAACTGCCAGGTGTGTGGGACAGAGCCCAGGGCAAGGTTAGAGGCTGGGAGCTCCGAGTTCTAACTCTGCTGTGAGACTCAACCCAAGCCACTTCCCCTCTCTCTTTGTGTGTCCTTTACCTATTAATAACGATGCCCAATGTCACTGTTGGGATTAGCTACCAGTGATGGCAAATGCACAGTGCAGTTCGTTCCAATGTGATTCCTGGGAACAGAAGGAATCCACAGCCACCTGCCGACTTTGTGAGTAAAGTATGTACTGACCGCCTTCAGAGTAGAGTCGCTTTCTTCCCAGGAGAGTGAGCTAAAGGCCCCGGAGCTGGGCCCTGCCCTCTGCAGGAGTACTGGCCAGTGTGGAGGCCCTAGAGATCCTGGCAGAGAGCAGTCTGGTCCTAGGAGGAAAAAGAAATAAAAGGCAGGTTATCTGGAGGGAAAACAAACATCCATCAGAAGGAAATTACCCGAAAGCTTTGGCAGGCCTGGGAATGGTTAAGATCTTTCATAAGTTGTGGCAAAATATATAAAACATAAAATTGACCATTTTAACCATTTTGAGTGTACGGTTTGGTGGTATTAAGTACTTTCACATCATTATGCAACCAGTACCACCACCCACCTCCAGAACGTTCTTCATCTTGCAAAACCAAAACTCTGTACCCGTTGAACGGCAACTCTCCGTACCCGCCTCTCCCCAGCCCCTGGCAACCACTATTCTGCTTTCTGTCTCTGTGAATCTGACAACTCTAGGTACTTCAAATAAGTGGGACCATATAGTATTTGTCTTTTTGTGGCTGGCTTACTTCACTCAGTATAATGTCCTCAATTTCATTTATGTGTAGCATGTATCAGAATTTCTTTGCTTTTGGGGCACCTGGGTGGCTCAGTCATTAAGCGTCCGCCTTCGGCTCAGATCACGATCCCAGGGTCCTGGGATCGAGCCCCGCATCGGGCTCCCTGCTCAGCGCGAAGCCTGCTTTTCCCTCTCCCTCTCCCCCTGCTTGTGTTCCCTCTCTCACTGTTATCTCTCTCTGTGAAATAAATAAAAATCTTTAAAAAAATTTATTTGCTTTTAAAGGCTGTGTAATATTCCCCTGTATGTACATACATCTTGCTTTCTTGCTTGTTCATTCATCAGTCAATGGACATTTGGGTTGCTTCCACCGT